TCAAGTGTTTTTGAAGTAGAGACGCTGCACATATTCATATACCGCACAGACCAGGAGGCCTACACCGGTGCGTAGACCAGCCAGGAGGCCTACACCGATGCGTAGACCAGCCAGGAGGCCTACACCGGTGCGTAGACCAGCCAGGAGGCCTACACCGGTGCGTAGACCAGCCAGGAGGCCTACACCGGTGCGTAGATCAGCCAGGAGGCCTACACCGGTGCGTAGACCAGCCAGGAGGCCTACACCGGTGCGTAGACCAGCCAGGAGGCCTACACTGGTGCGTAGACCAGCCAGGAGGCCTACACCGGTGCGTAGACCAGCCAGGAGGCCTATACCGGTGCGTAGACCAGCCAGGAGGCCTACACCGGTGCGTAGACCAGCCAGGAGGCCTACACCGGTGCGTAGACCAGCCAGGAGGCCTACACCGGTGCGTAGACCAGCCAGGAGGCCTACACAGGAGTTCTTCATAATTTCTCAACTATGATATGTAACTTGCCAGCAGGACCAGAGTGTGTATAGTTTCCCTCCCACAGCTTACCTTCCCTCCTCTCACCTTTCCTTCCTCTCCTCTCTCCTCCCCTTTCTATCTTCTTCCCTCCCCTTTCTCTCCTCTCCCCTCCCCTTTCTCTCCTCTCCCCCTCCCCTTTCTCTCCTCTCCCCTCCCCTTTCAACTCTGCTTTCTCTCATCAGTCACAACATTCAACTACTAGACCCGGCAATTAAGAACATAAATTGTTTGAACGACTGATCATTGACTTTTCATTAGACTGAGGCAAGAACACTAATGAATCATCATAACCTGCTTATATATTATTGAGCGTTTTAACAACACTGTTCACAATATGAAAATATTGTTTTATATTTACATATAATAATTCACTGTGTCCGGGGACAGGAAGCCAGAGTGTTTTCATACACGTTAGGCTTTCATCGAGGTCTCCCCCCCCCCTCTTCAAGGTCGCATTATTGACCCTGCCCAGGATGCAACCCCCACAACAAGCTGACTAACTCCTGAGTATCTACTCACTGCGAGGTGAACAGAAACATTAGGTGGAAGGAAATGTGCCCAACCATTTCTGTCCCGCCCGGGATTCGAACTCAGAATTCTCGATTGTGCATCGAGAACGAACGCGACCTTACTACCGGGACCCTAAGATTTGTGCACACACATGCGTTTAAGTGCACGCGCGCACACGTGTGCCTGTGCGTGTTATGGGTATAGTCAGAGCACCACAAGTGTGACATGAGACGATGGTGAGGGTGCTGGAAATGGGATCACTTTCAACACAGCCAACACCATCACCTTCTCCGGTTTAGTTGTTCCTGGGAACATTGCGAAGATCTTCTCATCATCCCCAGTGCACACTCATGCATGCGCTCCAAGCATAATCTCCTCTACCTCTCCTCTCAAATTATCTTTTCCTCCAAATCTCTCATTTACAGTAAATCCTAGCTTCATCTTTCCTTAATGCCGCTGTTCTTATAAAAGATCTTTCGTATCATTTTTTCGAATGGCAAATTTTCTCTCCTTGTCATTTCTTGGGCGCTGTTTGCGTCTTAGTGAGCCGCTCGCGCCTTCAAACTGACATGTAATAAGATGCCTAGCATGAACATAATTTAGTAGTTTATAAAGTTTTCTCTAATGTTTATTGATTGTTCTAGGTGGCGGTGGTGTCTTACGCTAGTATGGCAATAGTTAACCATGTTGGTTTAGTGCCCGGGTTGTTGGATAGAGCTGGGGACCCAGGTCAGACAGAGCTGGGACCCGGGTCACTCACAAGTGGGACCCGGTCGGAAACAGCTTGGGACCCGGGTCGGACAGAGCCGGGATCTAGCTAGCATAGAGGTCACACTTGACTATGATGCAGGGGGTAACTGTCTAAAATAAAGACTGTACAATGACACAGATGGTACCTAATTAAGAAACGGGATGTACCTGTTTAAGATACAAGTGGAAGACTACCTTAGCAGAACATAGCGGGTACCTAGCTTAAATACTGTATTACCTGACTGATATACTGTAGAAACACCTCCCAACCCATCCCCCACCACCATACACACAGACACACAGACACACAGACACACGCACACACACAGTACGGAGTACTGTGTGTGAGTGGAGTCATAGAGAGAGAGAAAGACCTGGGGGTTGATATCACGCCAGACCTGTCCCCTGAAGCCCATATCAAAATGATAACATCGGCGGCATATGCCAGGTTGGCTAACATAAGAACGGCCTTCAGGAACCCGTGTAAGGAATCATTCAGAACCTTGTATAAAACATATGTAAGACCAATCCTGGAGTATGCGGCCCCAGCATGGAGCCAGTACCTTCTCAAGCTCAAGACAAAGCTGGAAAAAGTTCAGAGGTATGCCACTCGGCTAGTCCCAGAACTAAAAGGCATGAGTTACGAAGAAAGACTCGGTGAAATGTACCACACATCGCTGGAAGACATGAGAGCTCGGGGAGACATGATCACTACCTACAAAATTCTCAGAAGACTTGACAGAGTAGATAAAGAAAAGTTATTTAACACGGGCGGTACGCGAACAAGGGGACACAGGTGGAAACTGAGCCACAGGGACGTTGGAAAGAACTTTTTCAGTGTTAGAGTAGTTAACAATGGAATGCATTAGGCAGTGATGTGGTGGAGGCTGACTCCATACAGTTTCAAATGTAGATAAAATAGAGCCCAGTAGGCTCAGGAATCTGAACACCAGTTGATTGACAGTTGAGAGGTGGGACCTAAGAGCCAAAGCTCAACCCCCGCAAGCACAACTACGTGAATACACACACGCACACACATACACAAAAACACACAAGCATTCACCAAAACACAAACATACACCTACTCGTGTGATTATATATAAATGCACAGACGAAAATGAAAACAATTTCTTCTCCGAGAAAATTATGAAACATTAAATACCTCGAGTTTTCACTAACATTTAAAGAAAAAAAAACCGTTTGCACTCGAGGACCCACGACGACAGAAGGATTATTTTTTGCAATTAAGAATCTTTATACCCAGACAAGAGGCCTGGCAGGCGCGGTGATTAGGAGAAACCCAGTTATCTTGCTTTTTCATAGACTTAATTTGGCGTGCGTCATTGTGTTGCTGTAGTCGAGTAGAGAGAATTTTATGTATATAAAATATACATAAAAAAAATATATATATATATATAATATATATATATATATATATATATATATATATATATATATATATATATATATATATATATATATATATATATATATATATATATTGTGTAAATCACGAAAATTAACACGTGATGAAAAATGTAACAGTGTGATGAAGGATGAATACATCACACCGTGTACACCAGTTGCAATGTGCTCCTGGCGGTCCGGGTTCGAGTCACTTCTGGGGTATAGAGTTTTCAGTTGCATATATGCTTGGGGACCATTCAAACTTGTTCGCATTTGTGTTACTAACGTGGCCCCACAAAAATGAGGTGATTTGATGAAATAGCTATGCCCAAGATTACCATCAATGTGCCGTCGGGGCGGTGGTTCAAATAGCCTCGGCTATCACCGCCTTTTGTACGGTCACTGATGGTCGAGTGGCTTGCTCCCCTCTCCGTACTGTTTCCTGCATGCACTCTCCTTCGTCTTCAAGTTTGGAACGAACAGCATGCAAATGCTCAATGGCTGTCAACCAATATGTGTGTTTACGTCTTTTATCGCCCTCCCTCCTTTCCCCACGCTCTCACACATAATAATTCATTTGCTACGAGTTAGAGAGAGCGCAGAAGAGCTAAGCTAAGGACCGTGGTGCAGGAAACTGCTCTCCCAAGAATGAGTATTATTTCATGCTTTATGCATGGGGTAAACTGCGGTGATGCGGAGAAAGTAGGCTGCCCCAGTTACTGCTGCGTAGAATATTGCATGAATGATTAATTGTCGGCATACACACCCATGCACACACACTTCCCAGACGGTGTACACATCCCACTACACAGTGTGATGCAGAAGTATAGACACATGCTATACTCATCATGTGGGGATACCCATGTGTACTATCCTCATCTCATGGAGATACCCATGTGTACAAAAGGAAAACAATTAGATCAAATTTAAAAAACGTCAAGGCGGAGTTTTAAAAATAGATTGACTTTAAAAGACGTGTATAGCCTTTTATAAACGCAGACGAACACCTGTCTCCCACCTGGCCAGCAGGTCAACACTCCTTAACGCTGAATGAGAACAATACTGCAGTTATCCTATTTACATTACAAACCCGTCTTAGCGATATTACAATGACTCTCACAATCACCCGAAGCAACGAGTGAAGAACCAGCTTATCCTAATGCATGCTTCCCGAAGGCTTGACACTGCAACGATTTTATGTTTGTTTAAGGGTGCTCAAAATATAGAAAGTGGATTAATGTGCAACAGATATGATGACTTACCAGAGAATATGATTTGTTTTCATTGCTTTGTTACAAACGTGTTAATGTTACTAATTAATTCACTTCCGGCTGAATATCTCAGAACATTCAGCGAAATACAATAAATCACTATGCAATGACTGCCTCTCCAGATCAGTTCTCCAAACGGAGCATAAAGGACAGCTCTGTTAAGCATCTTTAATAATGCAACAACGTCTGTTCGCTATGCACTCGGACATTGTTAAATGGAAATAAATTATACTTTGAATTCCCACACGCAATGTGGGGACCCAGCTCCTGTACCCTCCTTTTAGTGATAGATGTTTTTGTTCATAAGCTTCATTCGAAGCTTTTCTCGAAATATGCTAAACTTAATTATGTTCGAAGCACTCCTCTTGAACTGTGTGGCCCGCGTTTTGTCAGTCAGTTCTCAGAAACATAGGTCAAGTGCTTGTTAATTCACCCACTAAACACCTCTTTATGAATACAAAATACCTTATGCATGACGCATAACTACGTTTGAATTAGCTTGACCTTCGTTCTCTTCCTCTCCTACCACCGATGGCACATCTCCAAATGCTTTGCCCAACCTAACCTATCCTTAACTTAACCCATCCAAATCTAACCCAACTTAACCTAATCCAACCTAGTATATCCTAACCCAGTCTAACGTATCCTAACCCAGTCTAACCTAACATATCCTAACCTAACTCAGCCTAACCTAACGTATCCCAACTTAACCCAGCATAAAATATCCTAGCCTCCTATCCTAACCCAGCCTAATCTAACCTAACCTAACTCACACATGAAATGAAAGCGACGACGTTTCAATCTGTCCTTAACCCTTTTAGATTACTAGACGGGTTACCCGGCGGTGCCCGGATCTCTGTCTTTCCCTCCCTCTTCCTGTGCTTCTGTTTCCGGTCTCAGAGCCATTGTCTCTCGCCCTTCCTCTACGTCTCTCTCTCTCTCTCTCTCACTTCCTCTCTCCCTTTCTCCCTCCATTTCTCTGTCCCTCGCTCTCTCTCTGTACCTCTCTCCCTTCCTGTCTT